GACCCCTACCTCGTAATTCGGTCGTGACTGTTCGTGGATGAGTGAATTGTTTGTGCATTCGTTATGTGACATTGTTTGTGCATTAATAAAGAAAAAAAGTATAAAACCCAAAACCCTAGAGCTAGGAGGACAGATTACACTTTTGAATGCTCTGGCTCTGAGGCACGATCTAGGAAAAAACCCTAGTCCACCTTTTGGCCGGAACAATTTTATTAATAAATCTTATTTATTTTTATATCATTTTACTTAATGTTATCTCACTTTCATATTTTTTCTTTTAAATTTAGAGGTATTAAATATTTTTATTTTATAATTAAAATACAAAAACTATATAGTTAAAATACAAAAGAATAAAAATACAATTTAACTTGAATATTTTGACGCTCTTTTTATAAAATCCTGATAATCGTTAAATTCACGAAACTTATTTCCAATTTTTAAAATCTTAATCGGATGTGACAATACTTTTTATAAAAAAAAAATTAAAATCTTTTAAAACCTTAATTAATTCATTACGCCCCTGAAATTATGAAATGCTTCTCTTTTCCCTTATCCAATTAGTGTCACCCACCGCAGCAGATGGCTAGATGCAGTTGTGTCACCACGTCATTTGGAATCAATTATGTTTGCCGCATAGTTGCATACACCTCACTGAGTCATGAGATTCACGCTTTATCCTATTAAAATGGATAAAATATTCTCCATTCAACTCACAATAAAAACAAAATGCAAATAAAAGACACAATCTCTCCCGAATGCTCCGACAATCCCACGATAGATCATGAACAAAACAAAACTCATCCTTCAATTCATCTACTCATGGGTCAGCATATATATGAAATACAAGTGTCAACCATAGTTCAATTATCTGAAGATTTATTCATAAATAATTTGTAAGAGTAATATTGTATGTTAAAAAAATATAGAATCATCCTCTAAATTAATAATAAAATGACATTATTTATTTACGTAAGAATAATAGTAGTTGAAGAACTTTTAATAATATAAACTCTAAAAGAATTTAACGATCAATTTAACTTAAAATATTTAAAAGTGAGAAAAATATGCTCTGTTACTAGTTTCCTTTCTTCTTATTTATATAAATCTTATATTTAAATAAGAATCTTTGATACTAATTTTTTTGGAATATGTGTAGATCTCTTTTTATAAAGAATGTATGAATCGTATTTATAATTATAATCAAATTAAAATTCACGGGAATTATAACTTTGACTAGTTTTACCATAATTTACTTGTTAATACATTAATAATTAGTCCTAAAATTCGAGTTACTCGATTGAATGAGAACCAAGAAAATATGTACTTTTTGATTTACTTATCTGATTAGAGATTTGGAGAGTACATAACCCTCTTGACTCAGTATTAACAACGTGAAGAGTCATTGATTGACTGGGATCAATTGAAGATCAAGAGAGTACATTTTTAATGAAATATGTTACAAAAAGAAATATGTGAAATACCCGCTGTGACGAAGCCAGTTCTCACCCGCCACCAATGAATGAAGCCTGAGCTGTGACGTTTGTTTCCTCTAACTGTTACAACTGTCACGTGCCCCTTGCACGTTGCACCGTCACACATGACACAGCATCTATCTCTTACGCGTTACGCGCGCTTGCCCATTCATGAATTCAACTACTGCCACGAACACGGAGCAACCTTGTCTAAATATTCTTTTTTTTCCTTTTAAAAACAAAATATTTCCGTTTTCAACGGACAAAATTATTAAATTGTCTAAATATTTATATTAAATTATACTTTTAATTATCATTTTTTTATCTTATTTATATTATATTTTATTATTTTTATGAAATAAAAATAAAATATATTTCGAATATTATTAAATTTTAATTCTCATACCATTTAATTAATATCATATCATAATTAATGTTATAATTTTAATAATTAATAGATAAATATTTAATAAAATAATTACAATTGCCCATTTAATAAAATTAAAGAATTAAAAATATAAAATTAAAAATAATGAGATAAAAATTAGGAATCGAATATTATAAAAATAAAAAGTATAACTTAGTTTAAAATTTAAAAAAAAGTTGAATATATCTCCTATCTAATTGCTTATGTAGTAAATACTATAGTATTAAAAAAGTTGGAAAGTTTTGAGATGCCCAAATAAGCTTCGCCATTGTTGCAGAATATTCCAGGTAATGTGAAAATACTCGTTCATTACGTGCCTTAGTTTTTGATAAAAAAAAAATAAAAATTAAAGAACGCAATGAACGAGTTTTAATATATGGTAGCTACGATAGCTTCAGTTTTTGTTAAAAATATTTAATTCCGCCATTACAGTGTATTACGGTCGAACGTTTCATACTGTATTGGAATACCGATTATATATTTATATTTTCTAATTAATTTTTTAAATTATTAAATAAATATATTTTTTAAAATATGTAATTTACATAATTTATTTTACAGAAACTTACATAAATTTTTAACAATAACTTATAACTTTTGTAAGTTTTTAAACTGAGTCAATAAATTATATAAAATTCTCGCAAAATCAATTTCTTGCGTTAGAATAGTAGATTGAAATATAATTTAATTCTTGTAAAGTTAAGATTTTTTACCTATATATTATTTAATTACCTTTTCTTTAGTCGATGCGGGATTTGAATTTTTTTTCTAATGCATACTCTCATATTCAACATTACTCCTTCTGTTTATTTTCATAGTCGTTTTGTCAAATTTTGTTGTTTTTTTTTTCATTGTCAATTTTATAAAACTAATAACTTATTAATTTTTTTTTCATTTTTACTCTTGATAATTAATGCATGTTTACTAAACAATGTGTCTATTCATTTTTTAATGTACTTATTTCTTCTCCAACTACCTAAAGAGTATAACAGGAAAATATGTAATAAATACTTTAAAAAATTAAAATATCAATCATTGTCTTAATTCTTGTGCATAACCTTAAAGATAATAAAAAAAAATAAAGGGAGTATTAAGCTTAGTACGTGAATAAATGGTGAGTTGTTCTTTTTAACTATCTAGGATACGTGATCCTTTTTAATGATCTAGGATAATTCTAATATCATTTTAGAACAATAAATTTAAGTCTAATTCAATCTTACAAAATCGATTTGTAAGATAAGGATTATTTTTCTCTTACAAACTAACTATCTTCTTATTGGATTTTATTGAATAATGTAAATTAAAGTAAACAAATAAATTAATTTGCAATTAAAATAATAAATTAATTGGCCTTTAAAATTTTGAAGAATTATTGAGGAAAGGAAAATAAAATGAAAAGACTAAAGAAGAAAAGAAGAGGAATGTTGAAAGGGTGAAGGGTCCAAGTGCAATTGTAAAGCGACGTGGTGGATGGAGAGAGAGAGAAAGAGAAAGGAGGATGAGAAAACAAGGAAAGAGAGTGAGGGCAGGCTAGGCTCCCAAATGGAATATCCAATCGCATATGACATAAGTAGAGAATATTCGCGGGGAGATCCGTTGGGTGATTTTTAGTGCAACAATAGCAATAAATAGCGCACCAAACCATAACCGACCCTAAAATCTCATCACCCTCGCAACACGCGCAAACCTGCACCTTTCTCACAACCCTCTTTTCCTTCTCTCTCTCTCTCCATCACTTTCTCTCTCATCTCCGCCCAAATGGCTCTCAAGGCCGTCCATGTCACCGACGTCCCCTCCCTCGACCTCGTCCCGGAGAATCCCTCTCTCGCCCTCTGCTCCACCCGCTTCCCCAACGGTACCATTCCAACGCCTTTTCTTTTTTTAATTAATTAACTTCATTTCATTATTATTAATTATTAATCATTAATTATTTATGTGCAGAAGTGGAAATGAGTCGAAGTGGGTTCAAGATGCCAAAGTTCGTGGTCATCGGACACAGGGGTCATGGCATGAACGTCTTGCAGTCTTCAGATCGAAGAATGAGAGCCATCAAGGAAAATACCATCGTGTCCTTCAACGCTGCCGCCAACTTCCCTATCGATTACATCGAATTCGACGTTCAGGTAAAGACGATATTCCACCGACGTCTTTTTCTTCTTCTTCTTCTTCCACGTCGCTGCGTTGCGTACGCGCACCTTTACGTTGCTTTCTTCTTTTCCTTTTCCGGTTTCCGACTTTGCCCTCGTGGCGTTTCCGTAAATAAGTCGCGTTTCGTGGGCCTTTTTGAAAATGAAAAGAAATGATTTCGTGTGTTGAATGAGGACCCGTACTGATCGGCTACTTGCTTTTGTTTTTTTTTTTTCTTTATAAAAATTGAAGAAAAAGAGACCGAACAAAAAAAGTTAAAGCAAAATGCACGTGTGGTACTTTTTTGTAGGTGACGAAAGATGACTACCCAGTCATTTTCCACGACGACTTGATCCTCACGGAGGAGAATGTGAGTTCCTTTTTGCTGGCTTGTTTTGAAAGTTTCTTGACTTTGAGTTATTATTGTTATTATTATTATTGAAAGTGTGATGGGGTTTGTTGTAGGGTACTGTGTCGGGTAAGAGAATCACGGAGCTGAGTCTGTCTGAGTTTCTTTCCTATGGGCCTCAAAGTGAGGCCTCAAAGGAGGGAAAGGTTTTGCTCAGAAAGAAAGATGGGAAGGTGATGCAGTGGGACGTTGAAAAAGATGATTCGCTATGTACTCTTGAAGAAGCTTTTGTCAAGGTGGCACCCACTATTGGTTTTAACATTGAGTTGAAATTCGATGACCACATTGTCTATGAACAAGATTATCTCGTCCATGTCCTTCAGGCCGTCTTGAAGGTACAAAGAATGTCTCAACTTTAATTATACGGTCCAATTTTTTATTTTACACGTAATTCTCTTTATTTGTAAAGTTTCAACTTTGGTCCCTCACTGATTTAATTGTGCATGTATTTCCGTTAATTGCACGAGTAGAATATTGGAAAGTGAAATTTGTGAAAAAAAAACAAAACAAGGGGATTCATTGAATTCATGGAATGACAATAGTAAGGAATTAATTAAGAATGTAATTATCCCTTCATTTTAATTAAGTTTAATTACTCTTTGGTACATATACGGATTTTACCTTTTAATTTTTATAATTAAAAATATTTTATTTTAGTTTTTTTTTTATATATATATATTTTTGTTTCATTTAATTTCTATAGTTGCATTAAATTTACCTTTAACCTTTATAAAATAAATGACAGGGACTTAAAAGACTTAAAATGAATAAATCTGATATCTAAAAGAATTAAAATAGAATGGTTTTAATTATAGATACTTAAAATTATTTATTTCTGAGGTTACTGCTCTTGATGCTTGGCCTATTATGATTATGATCTTGATGACTAATGTGTTGTAACTTGATGAACTTTGATTGTGGAACAGGTTGTGTTTGACTATGCCAAGGATAGGCCTATTATCTTCTCGACATTCCAGCCAGATGCAGCAATGCTTATTCGGAAATTGCAAAACAATTACCCTGTTAGTTCTCTGAGCCATTTTAGTTGTGTGAGAGATTTGGAGGGAGCGAAGTTGTTCCTTGGTTATTTTGTTGCCTTAACTTGAGATTCTAATGTGGTGGTTAATTTGTTTGGAACCAGGTGTTTTTCTTGACAAATGGAGGATGTGAGGTCTATGAAGATGTGAGGAGAAACTCATTGGAGGAGGCTATGAAGCTCTGTGTGGAGAATGGATTGGAAGGAATTGTCTCTGAGATTAAAGGAATATTTAGAAATCCTGGAGCAGTAACCAAGATCAAGGAAGCAAAGCTTGGTCTCCTTTCTTATGGCAAATTAAAGTATGTGCACTTTTTATTGTTGGCTAATTTTTCTAATTGTTGGATGAAATTAAATTAATGTTTTGGCTGATGATTATATTTGGCATTACAGCAATGTTTCAGAAGCAGTTTACGTGCAACATTTAATGGGAATCGATGGGGTAATAGTGGATTTGGTTCAAGAAATAACCGAGGCAGTTGAGGAGATGATAAAGCCAACAAAGGGTAGTGATGGAGGAGAGGGTTTGACTGAGGGTAGTGAGAAGGTGCAGGAGGTGAACACAAAGCCTCAATTTTCGCAGCAGGAACTGTCCTTCCTTTTAAAGCTCATTCCACAGTTGATACAGATGTAAACACAGCCATTTTAAATGACCTTTCAGATAATACTGCTAGTGTAGGAGTCCTGGTTCCTTGCGTGAAAATTTTACATAAATAATATTTTTTAAAAGAAAAAATACAAAAATGACACCTGTGCAAGTTTATTTACCAAAGTAGAACGGTTTACAGTTTATGGTCAGAATTCGGTTTCTCGGGAACCGAATTCTGACCTTTAATATTTTTTTTCTTTCTTCTTTATCTTCTCAGAATTCGGTTCCTGGGGAACCGAATTCTGAGTTGTTTATATATATATATATATATATATTTTTGCGCGTTTGGATCCAGATTGGGCAAATTTTGTAAGTGGAACGGCCTGTTCCGAAAGCAGAACGGGTCGTTCTGCGTAAAGACAAAGTTATTTTTTTGAAATGAAAACGGGCTAAAAACGGGCCGTTCTCGAATAGAACTTTTAACGTTTTTTTGAATCTGGAACGGCTTTGGAACGACCCGTTCCAGAACACGTCTTTAAGAATTAAAAATTGGTTTGGAACGGGCCGTTCTGGTTTTGGAACGGCCCGTTCTGGGTAAACAGTAGATTGGGCAAATTTTGTAAGTGGAACGGCCCGTTCCGAAAGCAGAATGGGTCGTTCTGCGTAAAGACAAAGTTATTTTTTTGAAATGAAAACGGGCTAAAAACGGACCGTTCTCGAATAGAACTTTTAACGTTTTTTTGAATCTGGAATGGCCTTGGAACGACCCGTTCCAGAACATGTCTTTAGGAATTAAAAATTGGTTTGGAACGGGCCGTTCTGGTTTTGGAACGGCCCGTTCTGGGTAAACAGTAAAAAGTGGTGCCACCAATTAAAAAAATAAAATACATAAAATACATAGGGAAAAAAATAAAAAATAAAATAAAAAAAATACAGAAAAGATAAATATTATATATACATTTATATAAAATTCAGAAAATTAATTAAAAAATGGAAAAAATAAATTAAGTTAATAATTAAAAGTGACGTTATAGACCATAGCGCCACTTATTTAAAAATTAAAATACAAATAAAGAAAAAAAAATATAACATAAAGAAAATACAAAAAAGATAAATAAATAAATATAAATTATAATAACTTAATAAAATAAATTAAAATTTGGAAAAAAGAAATTAAGTAAATAATTTAAATAAAAAAAAAGGTAAAAAATGGTGGCACTATGGCCTATAGCGACATTGTGTTGTTATACACTGTGTTGTTATAGGCTATAGCGCCACTAGGGATGGCAAATATACCCGTACTCGCGGGTAATACCCGAACCCGTCCCGACTTTGATAGGGAATACCCGGTTTGACCAGGTACGGGTACGGATATGGGTAAAACCCGATATATTAAATCAGGTACGGGTACGGACATGTACTTACCCGCCCCAAAATTTAAAAATATAATTTTTTTTACAAAAAATAAAAAATAAAAAAATTGACGGGTACGGGTACGGGTAGGGGTATACCCGATACCCGACGGGGACGGGGATGGAGATGAAAATCTATACCCGACGAGCATGAGGACGGGGATGGGGATGAGTTTAACTTGCGGGGACGAGGACGGGTATCATGAAACCCATACCCGCCCCGTTGCCATCCCTAATCGCTACTGTTATAAATATTTAAATACATATTTAATTCATAATATAAATATTTAAAGGAAAAAAAATATAAAGTAAACAAATTACAAAAAAAATAAGTTTATAAATAGAAATTAATATTTAATTTATAATATAAAAAAAATATTTTTAAAATTAATTCAGTTTATTATTTTTATTTTACATTTCTATTATTTTTCGTTTATTTTTATTTTTTTCTTACACAGTGTCGCTGTGGACTACATTATTTTTGTTAGTCCATCAAGTGTGCTGATCTATCCTATAACTACATTTTCTTTGTTATATATATATATATTTTTTCTTTATTTGTATTTTAATTTTTAAATAAGTGGCGCTATGGTCTATAACGTCACTTTTAATTATTAACTTAATTTATTTTTTCTATTTTTTAATTAATTTTCTGAATTTTATATAAATGTATATATAATATTTATCTTTTCTGTATTTTCTTTATATTTTATTTTTTATTTTTTTTCCTATGTATTTTATTTTTTTAATTGGTGGCGCCACTTTTTACTGTTTACCTAGAACGGCCGTTCCAAACCAATTTTTAATTCCTAAAGACATGTTATGGAATGGGCCGTTCCAAGGCCGTTCCAGATTTAAAAAAACGTTAAAAGTTCCATTTGGGAACGGCCCGTTCTTAGCCCGTTTTCATTTCAAAAAAATAACTCTATGTCTTTACGCAGAACGGCCCGTTCTGCTTTCGGAACGGGCCGTTCCACTTACAAAATTTGCCCACCCAAACGCGCAAAAAAAATATATATAAAAACAACTCAGAATTCGGTTCCCCCGGGAACCGAATTCTGAGAAGAAAAAAAAGAAAAAAAAATATTTAAGGTCAGAATTCGGTTCACGGGGAACCGAATTCTGACCATGAACAGTAAACCGTTCTACTCTGGTAAATAAACTTGCACAGGTGTCATTTTTGTATTTTTTCTTTTAAAAAATATTATTTATGTAAAATTTTCTCCTTGCGTCTTATTCTTTTTTTTTTTTTTGTCTTGAACACAAAATGTAGACCCGTGGAGGAGGGTCATATAACCTGTGGAGGAGGGGGATCCATGAAAGCTTAACCCTTTGTACATATATTTTTCTTCTTTCCCCTTGAAGATAAAGGAAAGTATGATCATGTATGAATGTATGATGTCATAACAACTTACAGTTTGATGGTCCTCTTGCAATTATAGTTGACAGATGCATTGCATGAAATCTTCATTCTATCAATTACCCAGTGGCATTCATGTCTACCATTGCGATGAGAAAATATGGAAACTTTTGTCTCTTTCTGTTGTGTTCTCCATTTGGTTTCCGCTTGGTGCAAGAATCTTGCTATTGTAGAAAAGTATAATTGGATGTTTTCAATTATTCTCAAATGAGTGCAAATACATCAATAAATAGAGTTAGTCTCTAATTGAATGAGTTAAGCTAATAACAATTCTGTTAGACTATTAACAATTTTGTTTAAGATAACAAGAAATTTGTTAGTTAGTTACGAGATAACTCTTATATGCCTCCGCAAGATGGTGGAGGGATCAACCACACCAATCTTGGATTTGAGGAAGGAATGTCTAGTTTTTGGAAATGGTTTTGTAAGGAGGTTATCAAGCTCTTGAGTTGATGGAACATGTAGAATTGAAAGCTTTTTGTCTGCGACTAGATCTCTTACTAAATAATAGTCTATAGCTATGTATTTCATCCTTGAATGAAAAATTGGATTGCCACACAAGTATGTAGCACCAAGATTGTTCGAGTGTATTGTGGTAGGTTGAGAAATTGAAGAATGAAGCTCCTTTAATAATTCTTGCAGCCAAAGAAGCTCGGTCGTGGTTGAGGCAATTGTTCTATACTCAGTCTCAATTGATGATTTTGCCACTGTGGCTTGCTTTTTGCTGGACCAAGAAATTGGATTCTTGCTAAGATAGATGATAAATGTTACTGCGGACTTACAATCTTGAGTGTCTCCAACCCAATCTAAATCACAGTATGCTTAAAGAGAGAGATTTTGATTAGAGACAAGACCATGATCAAGTGTCCCTTTTAAATATCTTAGTACTCTTTTAGCTGCCTACATATGAAGATCAGTTGGTCTATGCATAAATTGGGACAACCTATTAACAATAAAGGAGATATCAGGACGAGTCAATGAAAGATATTGAAGTGAGCCAATGATTCATCTAAATTCTGAAGTATTGCATGAAGGAGTGTCAGTTGGGCAATGTAGAGAACATGTGGTGGACATTAGAGTGGTGATAGGCTTGGCATTTTCCATGTTGGTGGAGTGGAGTAGATTTTGGATATAGTGATGTTGAGTGAGAAACAAGCCACTGTCTATGGGTATGAATTCTATCCCAAGAAAATGTGTTGGTGCACCGAAATTTTTAAGGGAGAATTTTTGTGTCAAGGCTTCTTGAAACTGTGTGAGGAATTGGCAATTATTTCCTATGAAAGCAAATCATCCATGTAAACTAGAAAATAGGCAGTGACATTATCATGATGATATACAAACAAGATGTATCAAAGCGAGCATTGGTAAATCCATATGATAGGAGAAAAGCTTTAAGAGATTGGTACCAAACCCGTAGGGCTTGTTTGAGCCCATAAAGAGACTTCTTGAGCTTGCAAACATAGTTAGGATGTTGTGGGTGAACAAATCCATATGGTTGAGACATGTAGATGTCTTTTGAGAGTGAGTCATGGAAAAATGCATTATTTATATCCATATGTGAGAGTGACCAGTCGTGAGATAATGCTAAGCAAAAAACAATTTGAATTGTTTGAGGTTTTATAACAGGACTAAATGTGTCAAAGTAGTTCATACCTAGTTTTTGATTGAAACCCTTAGCAACTAGCCTTGCTTTGTAGCGAGAAATAGAGCCATATGGGTTTCTTTTAATCTGGAAAATCCACATGCAACCAATCACATTAAATTTAAATTTGGGAGGAATGAGAGTCCATGTGTCGTTAGCCATGAGGGCATTGAATTCATCACTCATTGGCGCCTTCCATTCAAGAATTTTGATTGCTTTAGAGGGGCAAGTTGGTTCAATAGAAGGTGGCAAAGGAAACCGACTGATAGCATTGACTTGCTTGGGCTTGAAAATACCATTCTTTGATCGAGTCACCATTGGATGATGGGAAGTGACTTTGTTCGAGGGAGTTTCTGTTTCTGAAGAAGTAGGAGAGGACACATGATTTTCAGGGTTGAGTTCTATTTGGGAAGTGAGGATATTTGGTGATTGGCTTGAAATGAGGTGGAAATGTTTTGTTGAGAGATATTTAGGGAGGGAGTCGGTGGTGCCGAAAGGTTTGGTAGCTGATTTGTTGGAGGGGAGAGTTTATGGCAGGTTTGGATTTGAATAGTTCAAAATTTGTTGCAACTAAATGGTTTGAGTTTAAGATTGATGAAAGGGATGAATTAGTGGGTGGTGGGACTAGGAATGGAAATATGTCTTCAACAAATTGAACATGACGATAGGTGTACAACTTGTG